TTTCTAGAATGCTTGTTCAACAAATCCCGTGCGATAAGGAATTCATTGATTGGTTGAAGAATAAAACATTTGATTGGTTAAAAAACAATCATCCAAAAGATTGGCAATTAGATGTCGCAACAAATAAAACGGATCTATATCTATATTCCTCATTTTCACTTGCTTTACAAGCATATATTTGTAATCTAGTCCGAAAACCTGTGGCACAATTCCTATTTGCTACAGAAAAAGTATCTGGGCTTTTAATGTTTGGTAATAATCATGCAACATTTGGTACTTTTTCCTTTTGGAAATCAGCATTTATGGATACAAAGATATTAAATATTGATAAGCTTATCGAACCACGGCCAGATGTTTATTATGTTCCAAAGAAAATTGATGGTTTGAGACTTCCATTTTCAATGTGTTTTATAGAATGGATTAATAAATTTAAAAATTTATATCAAGATAACATAATCGCATTGGAAGAAAATATTGATGATGAAGCTGATGAACTCCAATCAGATATTGTTAATGAATGCATTGAAAGGTTTTCTACGAGTTTAATATCAGCTACTCCAGCATTAGAATTACTACAAAACGACTTAGCTGATTTATATTTTAAAGATTTTGTAACCTTTATTTTGCATGGCGATAATAATAATAATCAATTATTATGTTGGATTATATCTCATAATATGAAACAAGAAATACCAGATCCAATAGAACTTCACGTATTTTGGTGGGACAATGCTGATTTAGTCTTGGCCGAGTTTCAATTGGTTTTACTATATCCAAGTATAAAGAATAAAATTCTTGATATGAAATTTGATGAAAGTAAAGAATTAGATTTTGAGGAGTATTTATTGAAACAAGTTTCAGATATTATGATTAATAAACTTTTTAACGTCATTAATGATGATTCAAAGAATCAGAGAAATGGAGATGAAAGCATTGAAATCGAAGAAGATAACAATGGAGATGATGAGGGCATTGAAATCGAAGAGGATGACAATGGAGATGATGAGAGCATCGAAAATGAAGAAGACATCAATGGGAATGATAACGAAAATACCAAAGAATATAATGAAATCGTTGAGATTAAAGATATCAATATAAATGAGAATGAAATACTTCAGCTTTGGCAGTGTGAAGTTGCAAGGATATTATCCCTAACTTGCAAATTAGAAACATCATTTGAAAATTCATCATTACAAACACTTCGAGTGTATAATGACCTATCTAAATCATTTTCTTTGACACAACTGCTTGAAATTAGGCTGAACACTGAAGAAAAAGATATGTTTTCTGAGCAATTTATAAACCTAGTTTTTGACAAGTTTGATAAAATAGAGAAAACAGAAATTTCTTTGTTGTCAAGACATTCTTTTATTTATAGATGTTTAGATATAATTCCATTTGAATCATCTATTAGATCACACTTTTACAAAAAAATATTTTCTCAAGAACCTTTACCATTAACCTTCTATACTATATATTTAATTTTTGAAGCCGAAAATAGAGAGCAAGAAGAATTACTATTCTTTAAACTTATTGACAATTTCGATGCTCTTAATAACACAAAACAATTACAAGATATTGAGAATACATTATTTGAGCGAAAGAATTCAGCAATGGCGGCATTATGTTGTGATGTTATTCAAACACAGTTCTTTATGAAACATAAATTTGAAGAATTATTTAAGTATTTTCTAAAAGCAATAAATATTTTAATTGCTAGTAACGCCAAGGTATTACAATTAGTTACTGCAATTGCACTTTTAAAAACAATTACAAATGAACTTTGGAATCATACAAAATCAATTAAACCGATTTTAGAATTTACTTTTGAGGATGATGATTATGAGAGTGACATTATTGAGACTTTAAATCAACGTTTAAGAATGGATCACAACTTGATTTATTCATTTAAAATATATTTGCTCAAAGCTTTACGGTTGAAAGGTTTATTAACTGATGAGATTAAACAGTTCTGTAATATGCATCAACAACTTTTACCATGGGTTAGGAATTTGGAATGGAATGATTATAATCGACTTGGTTTTAATCCTTATTGGTATCTTGAACAGTTTAAACTTATTAATATATCATTTAGAAAAATGTTGCAAAGTGATGAAACATATTCAGAAAGCATATTCAATTCGTTCATTGAAAATGATGATACTGCGCAAAAAATATCATTTGCAGGGATGGTGATTTCAAATTTTTATATTGTAAGAGCATCACGGAATCTTAATCAGGCTGAAAACATCTTAAAACAAAAGATTTATAGTTGTTTGGAATCTTCACAACTTCAACTTCAACAGAATTATAAAACATATCTTATCAACTTTATGTCAAATAGCGACCAATTATACAAACTTAATCCAAATGTTGATAATACTGATATGTTTATATCATCAGTTATTGCACATAGCGTAGCATTACATATTTCAATTCCAGTGAATGCATCTCCTTTGGCTGCATATATGCAAGAATTGCATGATTATATTGATACTTATATATTGACCTGTCCATCGGATGAATTATCTATAATAACAAATACAATAATATCAACGGATAATGGAACAAGAAGGTACATTTTATATTTATTGCATTTTTATTTGAATATACTTTTTGTTTTGTTAATTAATTTATTAATTTAAATAGATATCAATGCAAATGTGGATATATTTACTTTATTGGCGACTGCGGAATGCCAAATCAAAATGGTAAATGCCCTCAATGTGAGAACAAAGTTGGTGCAAAAGCATATTGTAAACTTGCTGATGAGAATATTTACATAGACAGTGATAAGATAAAACAAAAAATTGTTGTAAATGATAAAAAGGGTTATATAACTGAAGAAAAATGTATTGATGACAATTATTATAGCGTTAGAACAATGCATCCGGCAACTTATAGGATTCTTCATCTATTTTTACATTCAATTATTGGTATTCAAGCAAATTCACCAGCTGCCATCACCTTTATAGGTAGTCAAGCTAATGATATTATTTTATACTGTAAAAGACATATTAAAAATGACTGGAAGGTATTAAAAAATATTTTTGCATGTGATGATGAAACTTTGGCGTTAGCTATTCATGCAATTCTTTCGGAGATGTCACAAGAAGCTCAAC